TGTGTCATGACATCTTTGGATTAGTTTCTCTGTTAATTCTCTTTGATGTTCCGATGACCAGCCTACCTTTGTACCTCAATATTCTAGCCTTGAGTTGATAGTCTGGTCGGACATCTTTCTTAATTAACAATTCTTTTGTTACTCCTTCAATAAGAGGATCTCCATGATAGCTTGTTGTGACTTCTGAAAGCCATGAGGGTGAATTAGTAGTAACTGCAGATGGTGTCGCCCCCTCCTTTTCTATCTTTTGATTTTCATAGTCCCTTCTGGAAAGTGCATCAGTCACCTTGTTTTCTATACTTCTTTGTATTGGATTGAGTAGTTCAATCCAAGTAATTTAATAATTCGTTTTTGTGAAGCATGGAAACTACCATTTGCTCCAACAGATGCTTAATACTTTTTTGTTCTGTTTTTAGTGATAAGGGGAGCTCCTTCCAACTAATATCTCCATTTACTCACTGCATATACAATGACAAATAACTTCTCATACTTTGACAGCCCTCGGTTTCTTTTGCAGAGACCTTTGCTGATATAAGCAATAGATTGGTTCTCTTGCATGAGTAAGGCCCCTATCCCTATTCCACAAGCATATGAGAGAAGTTAGACAACCTTAATACCAGTGCTTCAGTCGAGACGTCTTTTAATAGCTCAGAGGCCCTTTCTGCTTCATCTGTCTATTTGAATCCATCTTTCTTCAGCATGCCAGTCGAAGGTTTGCTGATGGTGTCATCATTTCGGATGAATTTCCTATAATACCCTGTGAGTCCCGAGAAAGCCCGCAGACCCTTGATAGAGATTGGAATAGGCCGGGTCACATTGCTTCTATTCTTTTAAGGGCCGTTTTGACCCCCTGTTTAGAGATAATATGCCCTAAGTATTCAATTTCTACTTGAGCAAAGCAGGATTTGGATTTTTTTACATACAGTTAATGCTGCCTGAGTAGGGTGAACATCAATTACAGATGCCTTTTATGCTATTTTCCATAGTAAGGGCTGTAAACCAAAATGTCACAAACTCCCTTAAGTAACCTTCAAATATGTGACTCATGAGGGATTGAAAGGTGGTTGGTGTATTGGTTAACTTTGGACTCATAATGTCCATGATGGGTCTGGAAGGCTGTTTTGTAAACATCTTCCTCCATCATTCTTATTTGGGGATATTCGGACTTTAAGTCTATCTTAGAAAACAGTCCCGCCCCGTGCAATTCATCTAAGAGATCATCAATAAAAGGAATGAGGAATTTATCCTTGATTGTGATCTTGTTGAGCTCCCTACAGCTCACATAGAATCTTTAAATTCCATTCTTTTGTTTGACTAATAGGACTGGAGATGCGAATGGAGAATGGTTCCAGCAAATAATTGAAGCATCCAACATCTTTTTCACTTGCTGTTCAATCTCCATTTTTTGAAAATATGGGTATCTATCGGGCCTTAAGTTAATTGGAGAATTGCTACTCACAAAAGAGAGAACATGTTCAAAGCCCCTGGATGGTGGGAGCCCATATAGTTCCTCAAAATATCCTGGTAAGCTTGCAGCACCTATTCCATGTTATTGTCATTCTTGATGGGCACTTGACTTCTGGGTAGGTCAGAATAAATGGACTAAAGGCAGTATACACTCCCTGCACTCTGCTTGCCCCCTTCTTTTAACATTTTATTGAGTCTTTCTCCTGATAAGTAGTCAACCTATCAGGAACTTTCACCCATGAAATGTTATCTGTTTTCCCTCCCTTTTGAAACTTACTTTAGGCTCAGCAAAGTCAAAGATTATGGGGGTTTTACATATTCATCCAATCCACTTCCAATACCACGACATATCTTCCCAATTGAATTACTCTGAAATTATAGCAGAAAACATAATTCTGCATCCTCCACTGAACCCCCGTACACTTGCCTTCACTAGTCACTTTGTGACCGTTAGCCACCACGAGAGTAAGAGGTCTATTGTTGTACAACTTTGCTTTTTGATCCTTTTGCCATAGAGGAATCCATAAATGAGTGAGAATTTCCACTGTTTAGCAGGATCATGATGACTTTCTTATTTAGTAAACCTTTGATCCTCATTGTTCCTCCTGAGTAAAAGCCCTCTATGGCTTGTAGTGATAGGGTTCAGGGATCTTTAGGGTTTCATGTTGTTCTTCTTCATAAGTGTGTTCTTTCTTAACATCCTCTTCCTCACATCTTCCACTGCCATGGCTGTTTTCGGTTTACATTGGTGACCTGGGAGATATCTCTCACTATATCGGTAGCAAGAATTGTTACATTTACTCTCATTTTGGTATTGGATTGCCCCCTTCTGAGTTTTCTGATTGGTTGTTATTCTGGGTTGTTATCATTATTGACAGTAAGTGAAGGCACTTTTGGGCTAGCAGGTGAGTAGTGGGATTTTTGCTGTAGGTTCGGGAACTGTGGTGGTTAGTCATTTTTTTGATTCAACGGCTTGTTCTGGCCAAAGTGCTAGCTAGAAGGCATGGTTAAGGGTACGGGTTTTATGCATTCTCACTACAGGTCTCAGTTTCTACTTCAAACCATTGGTGAAGCTAATGTACCTCTCTGATAGTCCAGGCTTTTAAGTGAGTAATAGTGATCTCATCTCTTCAAAATTTTCTCGAAAATTAATAACCATATCTTCTTGTATTATCTTATTAAATTCTTTCACAAGATCAATTTCAGCTAACCCCCTGAACCTTTTGCATAATTCTTCTATGGATACATCCCATTCTAAAACTCGAGGAATTTGCTAGCTCATGGAACCATATTTCAGCCTTATCTCTTAAATAAAAGGCCGCTGTTTCTACTTTATTTTCTTCAGGTATACTATACACATGAAAATATTTCGAACATATTCTTATCCATGTCATAGGGTTTTGACCATCAAAGATGGGACTATCCACTTCCGACTTAGGGTCTTCCAACGGGTTATACACATGAAAGATGGGACTATACACATGAAAATATTTCGAACATATTCTTATCCATGTCATAGGGTTTTGACCATCAAAGATGGGACTATCCACCTCCGACTTAGGGTCTTCCAACGGGTTATTTCGTGGGTTAATGCTACTACCCCCAGCTTCTCACTGCTTTGAGGTTGGTGGAATACCCCAATCATGAGCTTGTAAAAGAGGAGAATGACTTACGTGTAGTGATGACTCTCCAAGCTTTGCTCCCCCTCACAACATCTCGGCGAGTTGTTCGAATCTTTGGTCAAAGAGCGCCCTGGTTTGACGCTATGCATCATACATTTCTGCCATGAAGTCAAACAGTTTATGTTCAACCTCTCTTACATTATCCTACATATTTTGGCATTTTTGTGGTTCGTTAACCACCGTCTTCCCTTTGCTTTCGGCCATCGCCACAAACTTGCAAGCAGCTCGCCGGAATCATTAAGCTCCGATATCAAGTTGTCAGATATGTTTTACATGTACCCCATGACTGTTAGGTTTTAAGAAGATAAAAGAAGTATTTGTCAGTGAAAGAAGAAGATTGAAGGGACAAGAGAGAAGAAAGGAGGCAGAAATAGTCCAAGAGATTATAAACCAAGAGATCTTTTTGTATATGAAACTTACCATGGTGAAGAAATGATTTGCGGAGTATATATAGCGTACTAAAACTAGAAACTTCATGAAAATTTCCTGCAAAATCTCAATAAAAACAGGAAATGGTTTCAGTGACACAGAAGAACGAAAACCCTAGCCACTCAACCAAAATGAACTTCTCATCTTCAAGATTTTTCTTCTAACCCTAATTCCTATCAGAGCCATGTTACCTTGACCTATTTCCAATTGAAGCCATGTTGCCCACTCATCTCGTGCTTATGCCGATTGAAGACACGTACCCTTCCCTTCATCAAATTGTGGCTCGGTGCTTACCAGCCGTTCTCCTCTTGTAAACTATCATCTGCTTCTGCTCTCTGCTTCCAATCTTATTTTTTTTCCTCGTGAACCACCTTCGTGACAGTTTTGTATGTTTAAAATACTCTTGTTAGAGTTCCTGTTCTTTAGGTGCAGTTACAAGCTGTTATTTGTTTCTTGTAAGTCATAAAAGGCTGTTTTGATTGGAGTATGAGAAAATTACGAATTTTTAGGTACTTAGCTCTTGGAGGTCTTTGGATTCTCTGCAACCAGCGTAAAAAAATTTTAGTCAAAATAAGTCAGAAAGGAAGAAAGAATCAGAAGCATTCTTTATTTGATGCTTAAAAACTTTTATATGGAACAAAAAAACAAAAGCTTTTCTTGATCTCTTTCCTTCCTATAATTATATTGTCTCTATTGGGGGGCCGTTAATAATTTAAATGATTTCATTTATATATGTTCTTTCGGAGTTTGCCATTAAATGTCAGTTCATGTTAATTGTTGGTTCTTTCAGCTCCAACTGTGCAACTGATGTTCAGCTCGCAATTGACCATCAGCACAGCAGAGAAATTTGGAGTCCACATTTCACAAGCATTTGAATCTGTTTTTGGATCCCCAACTACAATTGAAATGAGATGTGAGTTGAAGAAAGATGCAAGAACTGGGTCTGACATGCCTCTTATTTTACCAGCTTCAAAGAGTGGTTCATCTCACATGGTTCCAGGATCAGAGTCTAGCCCTGGTAACAGAAATCGTAGGGCATCATGTGATAAGGACACTAATGGGATTGCCACTGAGGTGCAGCTTTTGTCTTCCATACGTCATGAAAGTGGGAGGAATGAAATTGTTGAACTACCAGCATCTCCCTGGGCGTCTAAGGATGATGAAAATGTTGACAGTACTGATCCTAATAGAAGGGTTTTTGAGAGTGCACGGGTAAGAAAACAAGCTTCACAGCAGAAGTCGACTGTGACTTCTACCCCAGATACAAGGAAATTTGGTAACCAAAGAAGTCAGAGCCAGAGCATTGTGAGAAGTAAGGTGTCCCTTGCACATGTAATTCAGCAAGCAGAAGGATGTAAACAGCGAAATGGATGGTCAAAACGCAAAGCTGTTTCTATTGCTGAAAAACTGGAACAAGAAAACCTGTACGTCTTCTTTGTGCAATTTTTCTTTTCTAACTAACTTTTCGTTTTTTAAAAAAAATTAGTTTGGCTGGAGTCAACTTACTTTGAACTGTTGATCAAAACAACCAAAAAAACAAACACAGAAAGGCTGAGATCTTATTTTTTCCAGTTATGTGGATTAATGGACCAGAAAATCATAAAATTAGTCCCTTCCCTTCTTAGGAAAGCTTTATTCCGGTTGGAAGTGCATTTGTTAAGAACAGGTCTGCTAGAGTTATATTTATGTTCCTAAAACTGGATATGTTAAATGAAGTTGCAGAATAGATAAGTCTGACTAACCTTAGGCGTCCCTTGAATATTCTCCCAATTATAAATTGAATGACTGGAACATAACGAGGACTTGCTACTATTTTTACATGTAGTCTTTTTTCATTGGCTCAAATCATTATGTTCTTTAATAAAATTTTAAGTTATTGTGCACTGGAAAGGATCAAGCTATCATGAAATGTTTACTATTCTCAATGTGTCTGAACTTTTAGGTTGCTTTTATACTCTGTAATTTACAGGAGACTCGAACCTAGATCAAGAAGCTTGCTTTGCTGGAAAGCATCAAGAGTAACACGCCGCAAGGTAATGTATCTTGCGATGAATTTTCTTGAGTCACTTTCTCGCATGATCCATTGTGTACATTTTTTGTTAAGCTTGACTTGACATGAATTTTCTTATTGAGGGGACAAAAAAGAAGCTTTCGTTATTTCTATACTGTGAACTAACTAATCCATTTTAAACTAGAGGAGGGAAGAAATAATTGATGCATTGATGACGAGAAGAAACAATGGATGCATTTTCCACTTAATGTTTCCAATCCTAAGTTAGCAACATAGCATACCCATTTCCACATTGACATTCAGTTTAGTTTGTTCAAATTTGAACTTTATGAAACAAAAATAAGAATGTTACGAATATGATAAAAAGTTGAATGAAGCAGTATTTTAATTCTAAGTCAATTTATGTCTAATATTTAGAACTACGATCTAGGATTGTGGAATTGAATATATAAGTAATGTTGATTTATTATGTATTAATATGTAAATTACGGCTAATTTGTATATGTCAAGTAACTAATATTTAGGATTTGAACCAAACACCACGAGGGACGTGATGAAACTTCTTGTTTTTGCTGATTAATGACATTTAAAGTTATTTTTTCTGATTAATAATCTTTTTATGATTATACATGAAGTGTTTTTACGTGCATTTGGATGTGCAGTTTTCTCGTTTGAAAATGAGGACTCGGAGACCACATTCGTTGCTGAAGCTCGTGTCTTGTGGAAAATGTTTGTCCTCAAAATCTCCGAGGTAGGAGATGGAAATTTTGTGATGTCTTGTGGAATTTCATTTATATTTCTTGTGTAATCAGCCATTTACTCGCCGTGTTGTCAATTCAATCTCTTAATCATTCGATCCCTTGAATAAAAGGAACAAATTTGTATTTTTAGTAGGAAGAAATTATTAGTGCAGCATGTTTTAGTCATTTTCTTTTTCGTATGGTAATCAAAATTTTACTGTTAGTAGGCCTTCTGTTTTTTGTTTTCCCTTTTCTTGAGATGATTATAGCAGGGCTGTCTCATATATGTAATGGGTAGCAGAGCATTTGCAGCTTCATTATAATGAATTCTATATAAATTGTTTATGAAAATGTGGTTTGTCATTTGCAATAAATTTAATCAAAACTCAAATTTTCTTCTAAAGTGAAGTTTAAGTCTGTCTTTATTTAGCATTAAACCTTAATATGACAATTTATAAGCACACACACGTGTATACTAAAGCACTCAATATTTATATATATATATATATATATATATATACATATCTTTTGTTATTTTAAGAGTTTATTTAATTTAAATGCACAGAAGATAATTTTTAAAGTTGAATAATAACAATGTTACAAGTACAAAAGAGACGTACAACTAGTAAGTGTCTATATCAATACAGCATATAATTTATATGAGTGCAAAGCTCAAATTGATAAGAACAAAAACACAAACAATTTTTTTAGAAGATCTAATGAAGGTAGTAAACAAATATTAATTAAGTTTATAAATGTTAATGCTATAAAACGAGTGTATATATATATATATACAGTTAGCACATTGGGGGGCGTTGTCCCCCAAGTTGGTTTTCCGGCCAAGTAAATTTTGACCATTTCCAAACGAATATTACAAATGCTTCCAATTTGATTTGATATAATCAAGAAGTGAATCTATATCTATGTGTATATATATAAGTAAGATTTGATTGAAAGTTGTAAAACAGAGTGGAGGGAAATTAAAATGGGAGCAAAGGGTTTAGTAGGAATCTCAATCGTCCTCAAGATTTTTACTCTCTTGTTTTCTGTTGGTTGTATTGTGGTGTTCGTCACTGCAAATTTCACCCTTGATGATGGTACAAAAATAACTTTCAAGGATCTCAAAACATATAGGTATAATTATATACTATTACAAACATATCTTCCTCTCGGTATTTGAATTCGATTTTCGTTGTTAGTGTTTCGAGAGCAAACTTCTGAATGTACTAATATGATTAACGAGATTATACTTTTAAGATTATTCAGAAAGAAGTTTAATCTTAATAAATCAAATAAATTTATAAAAAATATAATTTCAATTGATATTATAATTTTATTA